TGATGCCTTTTTGTTCACTTGCAGAGGGATGTTTTTCTTTCAGTTGTTTTAATGTCTCTCCGTTTATTGGCAGAACCCCACCGGCGGATTCCTCTGTGAGAGAACTTACCTCCAAAGAGACTTTTGTACTACACGCATTTTGTTTCAAAACGGTCTTGCAACGTCATCGGTGTTTTCTTTTAGTCTCCTGTAGATTTTAGTCTCTCCTGCAGTGTTCTTGCTTCACATAGGAAATCATCAAGGGCCCCATTCTGCCACATTGTTAATCTTCTCTTCATTGCTGCCGCATTTTCTTTGTGCTTAGTCTGTGTGTGTGTCCTCTGACAGAAAAGATGTGGTATTATTGCCAGCATATGAAGAGTCAAAGGGGCAAGGAAGCAGTCTTGAGTGTACTCAGTTATGAGGCGAATCATTTCCCGAATCATTTCTTTGGTGGACGCACACTTGGGTGGCTTAAACAGGTTAGCTGGCAACCACCTGACAATTTCTAAATACACCATTTCTTTAACCCATATGTCCGCATTTTCCATCGACATGCCATTCCACTGTGGTGGCTGTCTCTCATTCACCTTGTGGACATCTGCTACTATTGGAGCAGCATTTATTAGTATTACATTTTCAGGTTGAGTGGACTCACTGCTATCATTTAAGATATCATCGGGTGGTTGGGTCCCGGAGGAATCCACTGTGGCCGCCCTGTGTCAGCTCCCTGCCTTGTGGGTTTCGACAATTGTTTCCCTTTCTGCAAACCAAACATGGTCGGTTGTTTCTCGCTCACTCACAGCTAGTGCAATTTTGGTACTGGCTAGCACATACGCAGCAATGTCTGTAACCCGGCGTAGTGTTCTGCACCATGGGCGGCAGTTGTATCGCCTCCGACGTCTGCCTTGGTCCCATACAGAAGAGGGAACTAGTTCTTATGAGTAAAGGGCAGAAAGGTGACAGGCTGGACTGCTGTGTCCGGGTATTAGGGGCATACTTGTGCGCGCGCTTGTGTGTGTGAGTGTGTGTAGGCCACCCCCCCTGTGGGCGACAATCCACACATCAGAATAATACACTGGGAGCAAGAATTGTCACACCCAACACTTGTTTATATATCCTTGGCAGAAATTACCACTATTCCTATGGTCGCACTGATGTAATATTACTTATATATACTTACTTGATCGAGCAACACTACAGGAAGTGACCATTACCTGAAGGTGAGGCGACCGCGAGCATAGGACACTTGGCCCCATAAGGGCTGCTACACCTGTCAAAGTAGGCCAATCGACACTGGCACGGGCACCTGGCACCTGCAGTAGCCGACCATCCAAATACTCACAAAATCGCTTGGTGATCGTCGGTGGACACCCGGATTATTTGCGATTAATGCCGTAAGGCATGAGAAGAACCTTCAGTGACAATGCTTGGGGTGAGATCCGATATTCACCGACACACTGTAAAATTCCCGCTCCCACGCTCGGAATATATCGCTTCCAAAAACACTTAAGATCACGGAGGACACTCCACCACACCCACGCCGCACTGATCCCTACTACTACTACTGCTGCTACTACTACTACTATCAGTTTCATCCGTTCATCTGTAACTTATTGTCAGATATTGAATATCTTCTTGTACAGTAGATCTTGAACACTCGACAGTAAAACAAATATCTTAAAGTGTACTCTTTCCGTTTGTGGTAAACCCCTTCGGTGGCGTCGCATTTTACCAGAGGGGGGGGTATGCCATAAATATTATCATTCTTATTGTTATCTTCCACATATAACTATTACTCATAGTACATTATATTACAGGTATGGAATGTCTCATCTACAAGGCCCAGGTAACGAGGAGGTGGGTTGCGAACGATGGAGGTGTACAGTTTGAGAAATGTTATGCGACCTGGCAACATCCCAAGGACCTCACCCCAAACATCACAGACATCACATCGTCCAGTTTTTACAAAACTAAGATAGCTAATACTGTAGAACGATGGATAAAACCATAAATGGTTGCTTTTGCAATGAGAGAGATGACTGTTTCCTGACAGGTAAAGGAACTAATGGTTGGTGCAGGGCAGACCTTGGAGCACCACGTGACATTAAAGAAATCTGGATACAAGGTAGGAGAGACACATTGTTGAAGAAAACCTTGCAAAATGTGGTGGTGCGTCTAGGTGACTCTCCCAACTATACGGACAACCCGGTTTGGCACTTTCAATGATCCATATCAAGTGGGAATGCTTGCCAAAATCACCAGGAAAGCTGCAATGACTGGCCAATACCTACATATGCAATGTATGGTGTCATCCTGGTTTTTCGGAATATGTGACCTTCAAATCATTGGAAATTAGAGATAAGGACCGGATAAACAAAGAATATTTTATATATACACACATACAATACACACACTTATATATATATATATATATATATATATATATATATATATATATATATATATATATATATATATATATATATATATATATATATATATATATATATATATATATATATATATATATATATATATATATATATATATATATATATATATATATATATATATATATATATATAAAGCCAACCTTACATGTTACAAGCCTAGTTGTCCATTTGATAAGTTTGAGGCTCATGAATTCCCCTTATAAAAACTATAAAACTATTAGTTGTTAATGGCTATAATTGGTAGATAATCATTAGAATTAAACACAAATATAAAGACAAAGCTATATAAATATAGAGATTAATATCAAATCCACTCTTTCAAAGTAAAATGGAGAGAAGCGAGACAAAAAACACGTAAGTGTCATATATGGCAATAAGTGAAAATCACTAGAAGCATTACATAGATCAGCTGTGGCCCAAAGCAGAGAATCATAGAAAATATGTGGTGATGGGTGCGTTTGATATTATAGAAAAATTCAATGTTGTCTAAGTCAGTGCTTCTCAAACTATCTGATGTGGCGGACCGGCAGGTTTTTTTTCCAATGAGCGAGGGACTGGTACCATATTTGTGGCATATTATTATTTTTTTACGATCAGAGAAAATATTATTTAAACATTCGTAGTAATATTAATTTATACCGGAAAAATATAATGAATATAATAAAAGTTGACACATTTTTTTATATTTTATATATATTTTGTAAACAGGTAATACACTATTACAATATAAATAAAAAAATATTAAAAAATCAATCTAGCAAAGCCTTCTAACACAGACATTATTAACATTAGTATATATAAGTTATAAAATAAAAAAAATATAATGAATAAAGAGGTTAAAAAAAATATATATCTTTGTTATTTTAAATCCAATGCCTAAAGACGTTAAACAAAGATTGAAAGGAGTAGGCAACAATAAATTGAAGACATAACAATTTTGAAAATATGTCGTAATACTGAAATATGAAATTGATGATTATTTTATTAACACAATAATAGGCATGTTAAAACCTTAACCTTTACTAATGTGAAAGGTGAGCTGTACCTTTGTAAAAGCTTATCGGCTGGCTGGTTCAGTCGAGGACGTGCTGCAGCAATGGAATAGATATCATACTGTTACCTGTTTTTGTCTTAGCAAGCATATCAGTTGAAGCCAGTCTTATAAGAAGTATATTTGGAAAATGGGAAAGATTTTAGAATGATTTAAATGAAACCGGGATATTTCTTTCCTTTTATCAAAGACCATTTGATATTGTAGTTTTGACCTCATCTATACGTGTATGGCTCATAATTTATGCCATAGTAACCTCAGTCATCTCTCGTGGCATAAAGGATATCGGATCCATCGAACTTTTTCGCGGATATTCTGCTGAAGTAATGCTGAAAACGTTCACCAAATTCGTCATTATTCCGGTGATAGTTCGTGAAGTGTAACTTGAATACCCCTTGCATCGGCGTGACTGCCGCCTAATTGGTGGCTATGTACGCAATCTCTTGACATAGGCCTTATGCTTCAACTTTTCGTTTTGTCATCGATCTTGTCTGCCATTGTAGGCAGGTCGTCTTCCATCACGCTGATTGTTGAGATCGTTAAATAGCAAAGAATATCAATAAATAAACCAACGTAGCCAATCCCTTCTCCGAAACAATTGTGACCAATTGGTTTTATCACGAAATTCCAGCAAGCTCATTTCGTAGCTCGTCTCTGTGGAGACACACCCTCGATAACCAACATCGTCTACACTGTGCAGTGGTAGTCTCAAATTTAAAGCATTTGCCTTTATGATTGCGTTTTAACCTCATGACACCTGTTTTGGTTTCTGTTGACATTTTTTGTTGCAAGACTTTCTCGATGAAAGCCAGTCGACACTCTCAGAACATAATCTGGTGACACTCCGAATGTAATCTATCATTGCGGCAGCGCTTGAGCCATACTTCTACGAGCAAATCAACCCCGTTTGTTAACATTCGCATTCTGATCTTAGTTGCTTTAGAACTAGTTGTTTTGTTGGTAAACCAAAAATCTTCCTCAGCGCCCACCATGGAATTGCATATTAACAACGTCACCCGTTCTCATCGAGCTGCAAAGAAATGCTGTTAATTTAAATCTCTGTCCTATAGGCTGATCTCTTTGCCATCAGGCCAAATCGTAGATTATTAAACTATAGTGTCATTTGAAAGGCGCTTTTAGGCCACTTTCATACCTTGACTCGCCCAGCATTCATACAGGGAACATTTTGTCTGACTATGCTGGCGTCCGCCAATTACATGACACGTATATGCTCGTGTGCTAAACTTGCCTGACCTGGCTAAATCATTTATATGACGCCCAGGTCTGTTTCAGTGGCCTTTTGAAATCTATCACATACTTTCACTGAAACTCTTTCGACTTTGGTCATTAGTTAAGATGTTTTGTATTTCGTACCTCTTGAGGTTTGATAAGCCATTGAGTCGTTAATAACACATCTCCTGATACCACGGTTTGGCACTCCCCATCATTTGTATTTCTAATGAATTGAATATAAAGTCATGTTTCGAGTGACTTGCAATTCCATTTCTCCGTCATCAGATTTCAGAATTACCTTCATGTGTTCCAGCATGGATGTCTCTGACTTCCTTAGTATCGAACAATTCCTTTGCCATCTGTAAATTAGGAATACAAAAAATATTGATGTCAGATTCACTTATATATAATCTAAGTATTGGACAATGAATAAATGCGTGGGATTAGTTGTTTGAAATATATTGGAGGCTCTAATTAACGTTGTCTTTGAGAACAGCAAGAATGAGAGAGAGCACCATGAGCGGTCATTTACACCAGCTCAGGCAGAAGTTCTGCAGGGTGATACTGAATATTGGGTCTTCTTCCTAACACTATATGGCAGGTTTACCTTAACCTAAGTCAACATTTAAAATATATTTGCCTGTAGTGAACTAACGTGTGGGTTTGAGCACTGTGGCGTTAAGATATCACTTCGGAGAAGATCCGACTAAAACCTTGGCACTCACTTTGGTGAATTTTAGTGTGCTCTCTGAGCGATATTTCGGTTTAATATTGCATGCATAGGTAAATTTTGGCATATGAGTTGTCAATCTAACAATACAGCTTCGTGGTGCATTCTGAATTCAAATGATGAACGTGCTTTCTGTTTGTTCTTCTTCGTAACTAACAATATTTTCTGACAGATTCGTTGCTGTTCTTGATTGATAATATTTGGTAACAAGCGGTCGGGCGAATGAATCATCCATCTCAGTCACTATATGGTCTGGGGAAGGCTCTACAAGTCAGGTTGCCTACGATGGTCTTTGGGGTCGAATGCTATTCGGCAAATCAGTGAAAAAGAGCCAAGACTACGACGAACATTTTGGTAAGCTATCTTGGTACAGTACTCTGGACTGCTCAAGTTCAAACTATCCAGTCATAGCAGTCAGAAGAAAGATTATTGAAGACTGGCAATAGGAAAACGAGATATCTCTCTTGGGAGAGGTTAACACGGTTGAGCAACATGACAAGCTGGTTAGTTATTTAAACATGTGTTACTTGCAAATTACCCAATTGTTCTCTGCTCCTGGGTTAGGATGCGTCGTGACTGTAAATCCGGTTGTCTCTGTATTTGATTGAACAGAACGATATAAGGAGCTCTCGATTTCATGAATGGAGTCCAAGAGACAGGCTGCCGAAGGCAGAGAAAGGTTGCGAGAAAAGACTTGGCGAGGTGAGAGTAAAGTGATGAATTGGGAGTCAATGATTCAGGTTCTTCCCTTCATGGTAGTCCGAGTGCTGACCGGAGAATGTTATTTGTCCTAACTTGAAAATGACGGTCCCCAAACCTTCCAGACGCAAGATTCAGAATAAATCTCCAGAAACTGCGCTCTGGCCAGCATGCGACACCACTGGTCTCAGAGGAAACTGCGAGATGACAACACGGCTGCCTGGATTGACGGTGGTTTGATAACACTGATGATATTGCGACAGAATCCTGTTTTCAAAGTAAAGAAGCTCAGGAAACTTGTCAATAACCTGAAGAGTTTGATGAGGATAAAAGTAGTCTGTTGTTTCTTTGATGGGAGGATGGCCTTCTGAAGATGTTCATGAGAGGATTGGAGATTTCTGACAAATTGTTGTTCCCTGCCATGGTGGAAGAGAACACTACTCCTGCTGTTGACAGGAGAAAGAGGTATTTCACTCCAGAAAAAGATGACATGAAAACCAGCGGGTGTTGGCAGATAAACATTGTGAACTGGCTCAGAGAGAGGAAACGTAGACCAGACCCTGTGAGCCATTGCGGAGAACCTTGCTGCCTGAACACAGGGTGGCAAGAGGTCGCTCTGATGGATAAGCCGGAAGATTGGGGGCTGGTCTGGTTGTTTGTGACCTCCGCAACGAGTTGCCACTCAGACATCGATGAGAGCTGGATGACAGACTCTTTCAAACAACAGATGGTCTGATGTATCTGGCGGCAAGATCTTGGACTCTGCCACCAGATTAGAAATAAGTGAGCTTTGAAAAAATCTGATTGGCCTCCACTCGTTGACTTACATACTGTCATTGACGACCTG